GCGAGCGCGGCGGGCGGCCAGGAGCTGCGGGAGCAGCCCCCACTGCCGCAGGATGTTGTCCTTCTGGGCGCCGATGCGCTTGGTGTCGTAGTAGCCCTCGGACTCCATCTCCAGCGCCAGCTCCACCACCACCTGGATGCGCTCCTGGTAGGAGGAGATGTCGGCCTCGATGGCCTCGTGCTTCTTCATGGCGGCCTCCACCGCCGGCAGGTCGTAGCCAAAGTTGTCCTGGGGACGGAGCGGGTGGTCAGGACAGGGTGGCTGGAGATGGGGACCCCCAGCGAGGTCCCATCAGCCTCGGCCCCATCCCACCTGTGACACCAGGCGCTGGTTCTCGTTGAGCCACGTCTCCCGCATGGCCGCTTTGTGGTCGAAGCGCTGGGCCAGCAGCTCCAGCTTCTCCTGGCGGATGAGCTCGTGCCGCAGGGCCACCTCCCGCTCGTGCTCAGCCTTCTCCAGGCAGCTCCAAGCCTGCGGAGCGAGAGTTGGGCTTGCAGAACGGCCCCGGGGCACGGGACGCCCGGCCCCGCGTCCCCAGCGGCACCTTGTTGATGTCGGAGATGCTCTTGCCCTCGCTGGGCACGTAGAGCTTGCGGTTGGTGGCCCGCAGCTTGCTCTGGATGGTGAAGAGCAGCACCTCCAGGTTGCCCTTCTCCTGAAACCTGCGGGACCAGAGCTCCTGGTGGGCACCGGCGCCGGCTCCGGCGGCCGTCCCACCGGCTCCTGCTCACTTGACGGGTTTCTCCAGGGTGCAGAAGGCCGTGAAGGCCTGGAGCTGCTGCTGGACACCAGCCAAGGAGTTGGCGAACTTCTGGTTGCTGATGATGGCGATGGTGTGCTGGATCCAGGCCAGCAGCTCGGCCGCCAGCGCCTCGTAGCGCTCCATGATGCCCTCGATCTCCATGGCCTGGTCCAGCACCTGGGATGGAGCAGGGACAAGAGGGCTCAGCCCCATGTGCCAAGAGAGCACGTGCGAGCCGGGCACGCGACCTCACCTTCCCGATGCGCTTGCCCTCCACGGCCAGCGCCTTCATCTTGGAGAAGTAGTGGTAGAAGGAGACCACGTAGGTAATGATGGACTTCTCGTCGGGGTCCTCCATGTTGACGTCTGTTGGGCGGCGATGCATCAGAATGCCCCAAAATGCCCCAAATCGCCCCACTTTCATCTCACCCGAGCAGGGGACATCCCAGTCCCTACCCTCGGGGTCGAGCAGCTTGCTGAGCCCCAGGTGCTGCTCGGCCGTGTTGAAGGCCTGCTGCAGGTTGTAGGTCGCGTTGGACTTGGTCAACTTATGGAAGTCGATGAGGTCCGGCCTGCGAGCGAGAGATAAGGTGTCTCCGGCAGGAGCCAAGCAAAAGGGGCCCCGGCGTCCGGGAGGCCCCAGCGGCAGCTCCACGCCGGACCTGTGCTTGTGGATGAGGGCGTTGAAGGCCAGGCCGTCCCTCCAGCTCGTGGTGAAGTTCTGGATGTTCACCTCCGGGTACCTGCGGGGAGCCAGGGCTCAGCGGGGACGGGGACGGGGACAGGGACGGGGACGGGCGCCGGGGCTCCCCCCGCCGTCTTCATCTGGCACCAGAGCAGCAGCGCGTCCTTGGCCGACTTCTTCTCCCTGTTGTCCTCCGTCTCCACGCTGATGTCCTGGATCTGGGAAGCGCCAGCGGGACCGGCCACCGCTTAGGGGGGCTGGGACCCCATGGAGGGGACAGGGATCCCAGGGGGGCAGGGACCCCACGGAGGGGACAGGGACCCCATGGGGGGGGACAGGGACCCCATGGGGGGGCAGGGACCCCACGGAGGGCACAGGGACCCCTCAATGGGCACAGGGACTCCCCAATGGGCTCCGGGACCCCCCAGTGGGCACCGGCATCCCCCAAACGCGACAGGGAGTCGC